TTCCTGTCAGCACAAACACGCCACCATTGTTCCTACAGTGTGATGTAAGTTTGCGTCACTGAACTTAATAAACTGCAAATATATCGTTTTTCTTTCACACGTCACTTCATTTAAAATCGATGTAAAGTCTGATTTCTTATTTGTTCCTGGAGAAACAAATGGAAACTTAAACTGAAGGTTCAGTGAACGTCTCATTCAGAGCTGAACATTTATAGTGGGTGCACAGCTCTAGATAATGGTCAAGACAGAGAACTGAAAGAAAAATACAAAGTCACATCCTCATCTATGTTCAAGACATACAGGAAGAGAAACTACTAATAAAATGACAAAGAAACATTGTGTTTATCTCAAAAGTTTGAGATTGGTTGCGTCATTTATCTTGTAAGGACAGTTACACAGAAGAAGGGAGAAAGAGGAAGGACGTATCAGCTTTCAAAATCAGAACTTCCTGACTGATCAAACACGGCAAAGCAAGTGAGGTGACGAGACAGTTCAGAGTGTCTGTCAGTTTGATGACTTTTCTCCAGAACAATGAATATCCACCCTCTTCTGCTCTGCTGCGTCACATATGGTGAGATCTTTAATTCTTTAAGGGGCTTGTTTTAGACACAAGGCCACATTTGATTGGTGAGACACTTGTTTTTATTCTTTCTTTTACTTTAGTCCAGTCTCTGTTCCATAAGAGATCAAGATTCACAGTTGCTTTAATTTTGTTTTTATCTTTTAAAGTTCAAAAGATTTAAAATAGAGTAAAAGTAGCACAAAGTGAGGACCGCTCACTCTGTGCGTGTAGTGATGTGAGTTACTACTATCAGCACCGAGGTGTCGCCTGTGCACGCTCCCTGTCTCCAGAAATCTTTCACACCTTCAGAAAAGTGAAAAGAAGCACATAATGAAACATTATTTTGTTTGCTTGCTCCATAAGTTTGTTAAAGCGAGCTGGCCGGTATGAGACGTGCGTCTGCTGTTAGCAGGTGTCTGTTTATAGAATAAGGAAATGACACTTGTGACCTTGTTTTACAGCTCGCTCACCACACAGCCAGCACTCTGTACTGATCTAAAGACAAACTACAAACACTCTAAACTTATCTCAGAGAAGTTATCAAGCTTTGTGTATTTTAGGACTAATAAAATTAACTAATCCGACAGCGGTGACTGTGAAAGGCTGAACGTTGCTCACTGTTGCTTCTGCTGCTTCTGCTTCTTCACACGTTTCACTAGGTTACGTGTTTTGAGTATGCTTCTTCTCTTCCCAGCAGAGTTGTGTGGGCTCATCAGTGCACAGGTTATATCAGTAACAGGAACTGAAGGACAAGGCATCACAGTGCGATGCCACTTTTCTTTCTCTGGAAACAGGATGTTCTTCTGTAAGGAAAATTGCAATCCAGGCAATGTTCTTATTGAAACATCTGAGGAAAAAGCACAAAAAGGCAAATTTAGCATTGAATATGAAGGTACGGTGCATTCTCCTGTCCTGTTTGTGACCATCAAGCCGCTGACCAAGTCTGACGCTGGGCGTTACAAGTGTGGCATGAGCAGATTCTTTGGGAATTCAGAACAGGAGGTTGAACTCATTGTTAAAGCTGGTGAGTTTTATTCGATTATTATTAACATTTACCAGAAATGGACTTGTTTTGGGATATTTGAAAAATGAAAAGTTCACCTCTGTTTAACAGATGACGTTTCACTGTTGTTCACAGCTCCAACTACCAGCTCACCCAGCTCAACACCTGCGACCACTCTGTCTCAAGGCACAGAAGGTAAGACGTGAGTTTAAAGGTGCAGAGATTAAACTGTGTGATTCCTCAAAAAAACAACATTTTGTGCTGAAAAGCATAAAAATCCCAAGAAAATGCAGTTATTTTCAGCAAGTGACTGCATGACAAACTCAAAACTCACAATCAGTTAATAAAATGTAATACCTGGTCCTAGTCTGTTTCTAACAGCAGGGTCTTATAGCTCTTTCTCCATTAATGCCATCTTTCTTCTGATTGGTGGCTCGTCACATCCCTTCTTCTCTTCCTCAGCCTGGGTCTCTGACACACGCTCAGAGCACTTCCTGCCTCTGGTTGTGTGTGTTCCTGTGGTCGTTTTGGTGTTGGCAGCCGTTCTGTTCCTGCGCTGCAGGAAGAAGACACAAAGGACGGTTGATGGTGAGTATTCTCCAACTTCATGTTTATCATTTCTTTGCTATGAATTCAAATCAAGACTGTTGTTTGTCTCCGTTTCACAGGAGTAACTCTTGATTACAGAAACACAAAGGTACTGCTTATTTTTATTTATTGTTTTTACTGTCATTGTTGACCATGTGCACAATTTTTTTTTTCCTGAGCCTAATCACTGTCCAAACCCAGCAGGAAAGTCAGCTTTAGAAAAACCAGAAAAGCAAATCAGCTGACAGGCTCAGTGCAGCAACACAGATTGTTTTAGATACTTGGAATAAAATGCATCCAAACCTAAAAGAAATCTGTCTGAACCTCAGAGAGTGTGAGAATGTCATTTATTTGTATCTCCATCTATACAAAAATGTATTCAGATTACCCCAAAGCAGAATCAAAGAGGTGTTTATTAGAAATCCTCAGCTCTAAGCATATGTGAAAGTATCTGTCCCATGAAATACAGAGTAAACAGAACCACAGCAAAGGGTAATTTCACTATGAAAGCAACAGAACAAAGAGAAAAGCCGAGCTGGCAGCTCACCGTGCTGCCCGCGCATCATATCTCAGAGGGATGCCACGCCCGTGTAACTCCATTCACACAGAGTTGTCACCACTAGAGGGCAACACAAGCAGGATTATGTGAAGAGCTGGGCAGAGTTAAAGGAAACTTAAAGTCAGTTTAGGTTTCATTTCAGTGGAAACATTCTCACCCAACAAACTTTTAAAACTGTTGTTTCTATTTTCAGATTGAACCTTATGAAAACTGCGTTTTTCACACACGTGAAGACGCCATCTACGAGAGCCTCGATCCAACCAGGATTGACCAGGACCCAACTTACTCGACACTCTTACACACTCACACTATTCACAAGGGGATTCAAGAGTGATTACAATTATCGGTGAAAAACTGATGTTTCATAAAGTTTTATACCCATGTGTATGATCACACGTCTTATAAAAACAAATAAATAAACATAAGCTACATGTAGGTCATGGGTGTCAACCTCAGTTTGTGTTTGGGACACATGAGGAAGTGATATTCCTAAATACAATTTGGTCCACAGAAATGATCCAACACCCTCGTGAGCTTCAGCGCACCTGATGGCACATTATGAAGTTTGTGTGAGTTTGTGATTGGCCTCCTGTAACAAACAGACTGGTGTGTGTACCTTCTGTGAAATGCGACTCTTACCTCACACTGAAATCGTTCTTTCTCTTTCTGTTTTCTCTTGCTGTGATTTTTTACGTTTACTATGTTTATTTTTATTTTACCACTTTTTCCAGATTCTAAGCTTTTTTCATGTTTTGATATTTTGAGTAGTATTACGTTCATTTTTATTTTATTTTATTATTTTAGTCTTAAGTCACCTTGACAAGGCTTCACATGCTGTCATTCATTACCCTGTATAATAAAAACTGTTGATTTAAAATCAAATTTCATTGACAGAAACAAACTGATTCTGAACTCGTCAGCAAGTGACTCATATACAAGCAGGAAGCAGCGCACTGTCCTCAAAGACACTAGCATGCTCTTGTCTACGACGGTGTAATTGTGTAAGATGAAAAATGATTGAAAATTATCAAATATCAATGCTAAAATGTAAAAAAGCTTTAAAGTGAAATTGCATTTAATTGAATATTAAGCTCAATGCTTTTTCTAGAGTATTTAATGTGGTATTAGTGTCTCATGGGGGGTCACAGAGGGGAACTCTAACACCCCCCTCAGCTCAAACATGTGAAAAGTGCTTCCACATCCAACCAGCAGGTGTCACTGTTGGCCAATAATTTCCTTCTGACTTGTTCAGCATTTGGTGTGCGTCTATTATACACGCTCTAAAACTACATCCTTTACTTTGTTATGTAAAGCATTTATAATATTTACAGGATTTCAGGTTTTATTGTAATGGATGTAACGTGTGACGTCCAAACTGTGAAAGTGTTCACTTGGATCGACAGAATATGATTTTCTTCACACATTCAGGTCCTTTGATAGAAGCACAAAGCTGACTTTGATCCTTTATTATCATGTTTGGAAAACTGACCAGAACAACTGGGTACAGAGACCCAAAGGGTCATTAACAATTTAACAAAAACAGCCGCAGAGAATAAAAAGTGGTACAAACTGGAGTTGTTTTGTGTCTCTTTCATCGTGGTGTCTCATAGATGTGTGTTTGATTTATATTTAACTGTAACTGAGGCTCCTAACAGTCACACAGAACATGGTGTTAATTAGGAAGCAATGAAGGCAAAGCAGCTAAAGCTAGGCTAGTCTCTTTACTCACATCTTGATGATGTCACTGACTGGTGAAGTTTAGCTTTGAAGCTGTTGATATCTTCCTGCTTTTGTTTCACAAGAGAGATGATCTGACTGTGGACGTGTCAAACACAAAGAGCTGTTCCCTAAATGGGCATTATTACCTCTGATAGGACCCAAAATATCCAAAATGAGCATCACTCGGCCTGCTGATCAATATTTTTCATAATATATCCACAGACAGTATGAAGTACTGAGCACACTGACGCGGAGCTGCAGACTCTTACTGTACAACCACACTGCAGTGACAAAGTGACAAAGGCTTTAACTTCTGGGTGGAAACTAAAAGAATGAACATTCCAAATTCAAACTCTTTTACCTGTTTTTTCCTTAATCTTAGCAGCATTATTTCTTTAAGTTTCATTACTAAAGTAAATAAATTTCTGTCAGCTGATAGATTAAAACAAACAGATGTCCAAACATATCAAAGAAAGCAGGAAACACGTTTTATTTCTCATCTGCCTTTTTATTTTATTTGAACACTTTCACACCTTTCACTGCTAAAAATGTACTTTACAGCACTACAGAATGACATCCAATAATAGTCCAGTACATCATTTTCATGCATTCTCTGTTGAACTCCTGCACAGTCTGCAGGTCCAGCACAGCGACGGACCTGCAGCTCGCTCCTGCAGGATAAACAACACAATCTATAAAATTTATAAAATTTTAACAACATTATTAGACTTAACATTTAACATATATCAACCATCGACATGAATAAACTGTTTACAAAAGTTATAACTTTAAAAGGTTTTCTGAGTAAGCGATTTACAAATGATGATTAGAAGACAGGTGTTGTGTAACGTAACCGTGACAGCACAGATCACACAGCAGTGGTATTGTAATCATATTTTACTCAGTATCAGTAAATGTTTGAGTAAATATGTATTGTCCTTAAACAGCAGTGTTGGGACTAACGCGTTATTAAGTAACGCGTTA